TTGTTATTCCTATAGGAAGAAAATTCCATATGTAATAAATTTTATAAAAAAATCGCGATACAATATATACATAAATTATTTAATAAATTAATATTCTCCATCTAGCATATATACAAATCGATAAAGTTTATACAAATAAATATCAATATGAATATTCGATATTAAAAATAAATATCAATAAGTAAATGGTTACTCTTTATTTGCAAATTAGATCTTGAATACTCCAACCGTCAGTTGGACAGTAAAATAAATACCAATATATTAAAAACAAATACCAATAGGTGATTTTCTGATTGCATACAATTTGTGATAAAATGCCGATCGCTCCTTATTTTATCATTTTATTAATTTGGATTGACAAATATACTTTAATCAGTAAGATTACTGGTTGGACAGCTTTTTACCTATGTAAATTATGATTAATTTCAATATTATTGCTGATTTCATCTTTATACCATCTGTTTATAATTAAAACCATATTGAATTTTGCACTGTTTGAGACTCTTATAAGTCTATAAATATGTCTACAAACCAATCAATGAGAAATTATATATAAACAGATATAAAGATGAGATTTATCTTTTAAAATTGCAATAAAGTTATATGATTTACTTCCTGAAAATACATATTTAACTTACCAAATTCTAAAATAAAAAATTTAGCAATATCTTTTAAAAAGTTTTCTAAATTACATTCTTTTGTTATAATAGAAGATTTTTTATAATTATTTGAAATTTTATAGTAATCTTCAATTAGTTGTGTATCATATATAAAACTATCTTTAATTTATTGATACTACTTGGTGAAAATTTCTGAAAACAAATATTTAGCTAATTTATTTCAATATTTAGAAAGAATTTTGTTATTGAAATTGAAGAATTATTATATTGAATATCATTTTAAGTTATAAATTCATCTTTAAAATTCTTCATTTTAATTCTTTTTTCTATATTATAAAATAATTCATACAAAGTACTATAATGATCTATCAGATATTTAAGTATACTATACATTTCTCTACTCATTGATTTAATTGTATTCTAGCATTAAAAATATAATTAAAAAAGAATTTTGCTTAAGAATAATGTAAAAAATTTTTTCACCTTTTCTACTGCAAAAGTGCCTATATGATTTATTATATTTATAATTTAATTTTTAAAAAAACCTTCTAAATATAAAATTATATAATATAAAAAATAAAATATTATTTATTTTTAAAAGATAAGGATTATTATGAAGATATAGTTGAATAACAGGATATTTACATAATAATATCTCCTATTTAATAAAATTCCTATTTATCTAATGCATTTTGTGCTTTATCAAACTTTATAATAATGTTTGAATATACTGATTGGAATTTTCAACGAACATTTTTCTTTAAATTTTGTTTAATATAAAAGAAATATGAAGCTGATTTTGAATCTAAAAATTGAATACTATTGCATTATGAAATGCAGTATCAGCATCTGTAAATATATTTTGTGGTAAAATATTAGATATAGTTTTTTTATACAAGATATAATCTAATTAAAGGATTCTTCATATTTATTACAAGTTAATACTTATCTTAGAAGTTATAAATAATTTCACTTATCAATTCTAATAAAAGCATTAATGACATATTATATTAGTTTGTATTAAAGGTAGTATTACAAATTACTATATTTAAATATTTTATTTATAAATTAATTTATTAGGATTTATCCAAAAAATACAAGACAAAATTTATTATTTATATAACTTTCAACAAACTATAATAGATTATAATTACACATAATATTAATTTGCTTTAATAAATTAATTTTATACCCTATTCTAACTTACTTTTCTAATTCTAGCATTAAGTTAACTCTTACTTTAACCCTTTTTCTAACTCTAATACTATATTAATCCTAATTAAAAGTTAAAATAGAAGAAAAGAAAGGATTTGACAAAAAAAAACTGAAAAAAATCAGTAAAAATAAGAATATGAAAAAAATAAAAAAAAAATGTGAATATTATTGCTTGTATAATCAATATAGTCATATTGCCAAAATTGTGATAATTATGATAATAGTAATATTAGTGATAATAATAATAGTTATAACTAGTAATAGTAATGATTTAATCATTAAATGAATATAGCATACAAATTTTATTGATATTCTCTTTTTTGTTACAATAATTATTAATTATGTGATTATTAATTTATAAATTGAATTCAATTTTTTACAAATAAAGAATAATATGTATTAATATTATCTGAAGCTTTTCTTAATTTTTGCTATTTAAATCTTTAATAAATTTTTTTATTATATTCAGTTAATATTTTTTTTTTAAAACTTAAATTTTTTACATAAAATTTTATATTTATATTACATGTAAATTTGTGATAATCAAAAGTATTTTACATAATGTTGCATTACGCTGTACAGTTTAATTATAAATTGCCATATATTCATAATGATATATTGAGTAATATATTTTTACAAAAAAAAAATAAAATAAAAAAAAAGAACAATGTTAAAAGATATTATTATGAAAGATTATATTGGTTAGTTATAGCAAGCAATAATCAATGAACATATAAAATTGTATAAATGCTCAGTTATACAAAATGAAAAATATATAGAAAAGAATGTTTATAAAGATATTTATTGTATTATTTAAAAAAGCATATTTTCATTTTGAAATCTTTTAAAAATCAAAATTCATCAAAGAAATAGTAATTATTTTTTAATAAATTAAATAAAAATTATATCAAAATACTTTTTTTATTTCATAATAGTTAAAACTATATTAGAAAGTTAATAATCATAAAAATATTATAAAAAATCTAAAAATTTTGAATTAGATAAATTCTGGTCTAAAAAAGAATAAAACCTTTTTTGATATTTAAAGCAAATCTAAAAAGTAGATAAAATACTATATATATATTTTTATATTAAACAATTGTGCTAAGTTTTATTTGTTATATAGATTTAATTAGCATAAACTTTTAGATGAATTTTGACTTTGATATTTTCGTATAAATCCTGAAAATATTAATATTCAAAGTTTATTCATCTGAATATTTTAAAGACAAATTTCAGATTGATCTTTATAAAACTTAATTTGGTCAAAATGTCTATAAACTTTATATAATAAAGTATTAATAAAGTTTAAAGAATATTATTAAATCAAGAATTTGATGAAGTATTCCAAGAAACGTTTAGATATTTATTATATTATTCTTCAAACCAAGTCAAAACTTGTCAGATCATATTACAAAATTTAAATCGTCCCTTTAATCCGCTGCTTTACAATGCACAAAACATCAGTCATTTTAAAATTTTTATTTTAAAACCTCACAACATTGCTTATTACAAATATCACCGAACGAAACACAAACAAATTCAATATGTAAATAAAAATGTTTTATATAAACTTTATTAAATACTAATGAAAGCCTAATTTATTGTAATTATCTATAAAAATACTGTATATGGCAATTGTGATTCGAACCGTGCAAGAATCATTTACGAGCCATTAATAGCTTTGACGAAAAGTTTAACCTCATTAACATCTATCTTATTAGATTTTGCATATGTGTCAAGCTGTTGCGTTAGATTTGAATCTGATAAAATGGTGTTAATTACACGAATTTCTTTAAACATATTCATGTCCATAGCATCTATAATATCTGAAAATTTAATGCAAAACTGAGCCAATGTAACGCTGACTCGACCTAAATTTAAATTTGGTTGTTTTTGATACGCGTCATTAAAAGCTTGCAATGCTAATATCCAATTTCCTTGCCTCTGATAGCAAAACCCGAGTAAAAGATGAGAGATTGCGGTTTCATTAGACGAAATAAGCAGAGCAAATTCTTTTAACATTTGTGCTTCATTATGGGTATGCCCTAAGGCACATGAGCTGTTAATGATAACGTATCTCGCTAAAAAATTAATGGGAAAATATTTTATCTTATCAATCCCTCCTAGTATCATCTGAAGCACGATAGGTAAAATGGGCTTTAATAATCCGTCAAAGAACATATTTGTTCTTTTTGGAAGGTCCGGTATATCATACAATCTTTGTATAGCATTTTCGGCATGAATGATTGCCTGTTCGTGAAAATCATAAGCAAAGTAAGTTATGGAAAGTCTCATTTGAATGGGAGCTGAATCATGAATATTGATGGCATCTTGTTGTTGTTTAAAAAAGCCTTCAAGTATTCGGTTAGTAATAGTTCCCTTCTCTTTCGCTTGGATAAGATCAATAAATGAAATAATTGATAAAGCTTCGCTCTTTAATTCTTGGTTAAGAGTTATTTCAAAAACGGTCTTAAATGTAACTCTGACTTGATCGAGGTTTCCATCGTAAAGATATTTAACGCCCTCTACCAATTTCAGAATCGCGATAAAATTATTTTCGATTATTTTAATGTTACTTAACGCATCCGATGCTTGTGTGAATATGTAATCATCTTTGGGATAAAAAGTAGCTAATAAGAGAGTAGCTTTGTCTGCAATCTGACGTGCTTGTAAATTTTGTTCGTTGGCAGTCTGTATTTTTTCTTCAACATTCTTTCTTTCTTCCTTTGGTATAGGCAAATTTCTCAAATCTAACAAGTCCACAACAATTGCAATTGAATTTTTTGAAAGCGCCATTGAATAATTTATCATAGCAAATCCAGCATGACGAGCATGTGCTTGCGTCCCTTCTTTATAGAGTTTCTTTTGTAAGGTTTCCCAATGTTGATACACATCTAATGCCTTCTCAGGTGCATTTATACAGTAGCTGTTTATCAGTTTGGATAATATATTTTCCTTAACCGCTGGAAAATTGAGGTGATGTTCATTGTAGAAATCCAAACAATTCTCTAGCAATTCCATACACCGTGCATTGTCGAACCAAACGTGACCCGCAGCAAAGTTTTCCATGGCAATGACTATGTCCACTTCAATTGCAGCTCGCTCTTTAGACGTTAAGGTATCATATCTTAATTCATAATCCCTTTTTATGATTTCCAAAGCTTTCGCGCAGAGTTCCCTCTGTTTTTCAGTATTTTTAATATCTCCGAATGCGCGGGCGAGATTAATTAGGCTCTTTGCAAATAATGGATCGTCACTTTTGAATAAACGGGATTTAATAATATGCGCCTCTTGGAGGAGTCTTAGTTGTTGAGAATAGTTTGAAGCATTACGCTCAGCAAAAGCAAGTAAGGTAATTATTTCCGCATATACTTCGGTATTTTTATCATGCACTAGACTAGCCAATTTCTCCAGATAAATTTTTTGGTCAGCTAAACCAATATTATCACTAATACTGCTCATATTACAAATGTTAAATACGACAAAATTACCAATGCTTGTATCGTTATATAGACCACTGGTAAACACGTGGTAAAGTTCAAGCAAGGCATTTCGATAGATATCAAACACCACCGGCAATTCAGAGTCTACCTGACTACAGTTTTCTAGATATAGAGAACATTCTTCGACGATGGCCTTTAAATCCATCGGATAAGAAATATGATTAAACTCAATGTTCAATGAAACTTTAATGAGGCTATGGATATAAAGGAATTCGTTTTCACTTCTTAATAATTTTAGATTTATGAGAACACGGAGAATATCACTCGCGTGTGTTTTGGTAAAACCTAGCCTAATTAACGCGGAACTAAATAAAGCTTTTGGTGCCTTGTCTCCTATCTTATGCATCAAATGATATATACTATGGTTTATCAATTCCGCATAATGTGCATCTTTATTGGTAAGCGTTTCAAATACATTCTTTGATAAAAACCTACTAGAAAGATAGGTAGCATAAGAGTTAATACAGGTATAATTCTTGATGTATGAACGGCCGGTACAAACAGATTCTTTAAGAGATTGTAAAACGGTGCAATAATTTTCGACACTCTGCCCTGTAACGGCAATATGGACAACGGCCATATCTATAGTTAAGTTAAATTGTCCTGTGAGTTCTAACAACTGTTCAAATTGTGCTTCGTCAGCGCAATTGATAGAGTTCTTTGCAAGTGCATTCTTTAAATATTCTCTTGCATTAAATCCGTTGGTTGTATTTTCCACTTTTAATAATGCAACGACTAACGCATCTCGAGGCACTAATTGTGTGCAAGCTTCATCCAACAAGCTTTTTCCTTCGTTTATGGATTCAGAATAGCTGATAATGAGCTTAATTATATCAGGTCGATGAGTCATAACGCTTTTTATTAATTTATTACTTTCATTCTTATATCTAATCATGTTTTGTTTTAACATGCCTGATTTTGGTGTGCTATGACCAAAATATGACATGATTTGAACTACCAGCAGTATTTGTCTGATCTTTTTAATTGTTAAAACACCTTCTAGGGTTGCATAATCTAAATGCTCAAGTTCGCTTTCTGGATATAGATGATCTAAATTATCTATATTTGCAGATATCTTTTCGACATATGGTAAAACCCTTTGATAACATTCTTGCTCTAATGCGATCACGAGGAAGCACTTAATAGATTCTAACAATGAACTTGGCTGCATCTTTTCCGCATGTTGATAAAACTTTTCTGCATATAATATTGCTTTCTCTCCATCCTTGAAGTTCTGATAAACTTTTATTAAATTTGTCAGTGTAGTGAGATAGTTTGGATAAATCTTTGGCAATTTCTCATAAATGTCATAAGATTGCAAGAGATTTTTCTTTGCAAGCTCATTATCTCCTTGTATCAAATCAAAGGTAGCCAATTGACAGTATGCTTTCGCAAGGTCACTGTGATTTCTACCGCACAGTTCAGTAATAATGTTAATAGCCTCAGGTAATCTTTGCTTACACTCCTCCCATTTATCATAACTAATCCAGGTATCGAAAGCATCTAGATAAAATTTAGCGAGTTGTAATCGATAATATGGGTTTTCTTCAAATGTAGTTCGATATACAGTAGCTTTTTCATAATGTTCATAAGCCCACTGGTAACTCTTTTTTGCTTGATAAACTTTCATATACCCGTATGAGAGTTTGAAGGTAAGCGCTTTATTCGTAAGTTCATGTTCTACGCTGGGAAGCAGGCATTTAACGTAGGTCAGTTGTTCTTCGGCCTGATCAAGTTTTCCCATGAGACATAAAGTATTTGTGAGGTCAATATAAGCATCTAGTAGCCGACTTACAATTTTCCCCACGTAAAGAATAGAGATCATACGAATTGTTTTTTCTCTATATTTTACCGCCTGCTCCCATTGATTGTATTGCTGGGCAATTTCAGCCGCTTGTTGATAAATATCAATCAATTTAGTATGTGCGTGCTTACCATAAAGCTTATCCGTGTAATCTAAGGACTGTTGAATATAGTGCTTGCTCCGATCAAATTGATTTTTGCCAGCATGATATTTTGCGTAGCCGATGTAAAAATCGATCATCACATCATCTTTATGTTTGTCAGGGATATGCTTGACGATTTCATTAGCTTTTTCAAGATGATGAAATTCGGCTGTGGTATTACCCATTAGACCTTCTATTTGGGCAATATAGCAATGGGACTGTACATGATCCATCGACAATTCTTGATGAGTAATCTCAAGTTCATCAAGTATAATATTATATTCATCGAGTGCCTCTTTATGGTTTCCCAAAACTAATTTTAGGTAACCTAATCTAAACCGATCACTAATTTCTCGTGATTTATTTTCTAGGTATTTTTCATAGAATTCGTAAGCTAACTGGGGCTTTCCTAGGTGGGAATACAAGCGATACAATTGAAAATGTGCATTCATCAATTCTGACTGTTGAGATTCAAGTAACAATATTTCAGCCTGTCGATAAAGCATAAATCTAAAACAAATGGTTGCTTTTGTAATCAGCCTCTCATCCAAAAAGTTTTGCCCTGTATTAATTTGATCCAAATTTTCTTGATTCACACTCGTTTGCACAAACTGGTAAAGGGGAATTGCGACTTGGTAGAATCTAACCAGGCTAGCAACTTCGTCTATGCCCAAAAAACTCTCAATCTCTGAGTTGTTATGGGCAACTGCAGTATCCCAAATACCTAATCTTTCGCTTTGACTACCATGTGTGACATAAGTAAACAATCGCGACTGTAACGCAATAGCCGTCATGAATTCGAGATTAACAGATCCTGCCTGACTGATAATATTACATTTCAACAATCCTGAGATTTTCTCCCATAATGTTTCGCCGGGTGTTGCAAAAATTAATCTTAGCCCCTCAATCAATCTGTCTGGCAATCGATAAATTTCAGCTTTGATGTTTAATAACCTTCCTTCGTAACTGATTTTATCTATCTTGATTTTATATTTTTCTAAATCGGCTTGTTTGAAATTCATTGTACCATCTTGTAGAAGCACTTTGGCCATTCTTTTATGGAAGGGTTGTTGATTTATTTCCTCAAAATGCAACTGTTGTTTTACCATCTGTTTATAATCTTCATATAGCTTTTCATTACCAAATAAGAATCGACAATCAATTAATTCAGCAACTAACAGGGGATCTTGTTCGAGCATGCCAAAGTTAATGTAGTTCGCCATATCTTGGGGGGTATTAATTAAATCATAATCTTTATCTGCACGTCCAAGCGGTGTTTTCCCTCCCAAGTCAAATTGAAATCCTGGCTTTAATAGATCATCAAAGTCGATAACGTTTGTTACATTAGATACTTGAAATAAATTCAAAGGAAGAGCTGTTTGTTCTAGGCTGATGACAATAAAATTCATCAAATATACCATCCGGCGTAACACCTCTTTTAATTTTAAATTACGGTCATTGACTAAAATACAAAATTCTATATCCGAATAGGGTGTAGCCGTATCCTTCGCCCACGAACCAAATAGTACAACCGCGAATGCTTGATGACTAATTTCATCATCATGAAAAGCTTCAAGCGAGAGCTGAATGATGTCATAAAGTAGTTTACGCAGCGATATGTTAAGCTTTTGATAACATTCTTTAATGATGACAACTTTTTCGGAATTCGTTTTTGTCTCTTGGATTTGGTGAATAACGTCTTTAGCTTGCTCACATTGAATTTCTCTAATCGATTTATAAAATTCATCAATGCGGGAAAAGAAATTTGTTGGATCATTACTGGATTTTAATACCTTTTTTAAGAAAAAATCTTTAAATGATAGTATCTCCTGGGTCGGTATTATATCTTTTTTAGCAATCTTGTTCGTGGCCTTGTAAATCTTGTAAATCGATAAACAGCGATCTGCCATTTGTATGGTAATCTCATTTTCTTCATTAATTTTCTGCCAAAGATGTTGACCAATTTTCTTGAGTAAAATCACAATTTTATTAGTATCATTTTCGATTTTAGCCTTGCTTAATTGAGCTACGAGCTCTTCCATTGGAACATTCATCGTTCTAAAGATGTTTTATTATTAAATTTTAATGCCAAAATTCGACTTTGAAGGAATGTAATAAAGAATTTATATATACAGGAAATTAAAAAAAAAATATTTTTTTATATTTATTTTAAATTAAAGTTAACCTATAAAATGTCAGATCCTTGGACTAATCAAGAACTGTGGTACCATGCAGTTCCACAATTTCCTAATTAAGTAATCAATATAAATAAAAGTGGTTACATAATAATACATTTCATTGTCTTTTGCGATTTAGTTAGTCGTTTGAGTCGATCTTCGGCTTCCAACCGATTTTGATGATATTCGTAATGGCGATGAATAACTGGTAATTTATCATAACGAAAACCATATTTAAGATTGAGCACTGGCGCTTTGGTGTAAATGTAAATTCGCTTATCGTAAGTAATGATGCCCGTATAGCAAAGTAATTCTCTAGCATTCCATCGAACTCCAGTACTGGTAGTTAATAAACAGTTCTTTTTATATTCGGTGAAATATAATCCAGTAATGAGATTTTCGGTGGGATCTGAAGTAAAATCCATTTTCTTTGAACCCAAGTAAGCAAATAATTGTTTTGAGATAAATTGAGTAAATTTCTTGATAGATTCGGGTTCAAGCTGCTGTATCTGCTCGATATAGATGTTGGCTACTTTCTTCGCAATGCCTTCAAAAAGAACTTTAATCGGATCCTGCTTGCTTTCGAAAGTTTGTATAATTTGTTCCGCCTTATCATGCATCTTTCCCGTGTGGACAGCTTGAATTAGATCTGCTATACCTATAAAAATCTCTTTAGGTTCTATAGACGCTGATATGCCACTACTGTCTACGCTCAATGTGGGGACAAAGGCTTCTGCTACAGTTTTGACTATTCCTGTAACAATTTTAGTTTTATCATAGGTTGTATTGTTTGGATCCAATTTCTTTTTATAGTAGATAAATCTTTCCAACAATGAATTGGTCAGCTCTCGTACAAACAATTCATGATTGTTTTTCGTTAAATGAATATCAGCAAGTTTGGATTTCTCTAATCTATTCAAGCACCAAAAACAGTTATTATAATTGTATTTAATAACGTCATTTCCAAAGTACTCGGGTTCTGCCAATAAATCTTTGTAATGTTTCTGTGCTTCTTTATAAGCAGCTTTCGCACTTTTTTTTCGTTCTTCCATGAAATTCCCCTCGGATTTAAAAGATTTTTGTCGACAAAAAATGTATCCCAATCGCCTATAAACAGAAGCACGACGACATTTGTCGAGATTAGGAGCTGATTTCAGATATTCTTGATAGCTCTTGATGGCGAAATCTCTAATATCTGGGTCATTTGTAGCCAGCAATACATCCGCATATTCTTTGAGTAATTGAGGTTCGTTTGTCATGTTATATCGTTCTTTTGTCTGATCAAGTTCTTCCTGAAGGATTTGAAGTGGTTTTAGCTCAATTTCTTCAGGTGGGTCTTTCAAATGCTTGATTTGATCTTCAATTCCTTCTAACAACTGAGTGGAACATTTAACAAAAAAATGATTAGGATCGCGATAAAAATTTTGTTGGATCAGGAGCGCTTGGGTTACGGCTTCATGTGCCAAGAAATAATAACGCAATGCCACGTTAACTTCGGCCAAGTGATAAAAAATTCTGCCCGCGGTTCGATTATTCTCTCGTTTATAATAATCGCGATTGGACTTTAAAGCGTAACGTAGATGCGTATCGGCTTTCTTTAATGCATCAAATTTCTTTGTTTCATCTATTTCGACACGAGACATTTCCAGATAAGCACAGCCTAATTCGATATAAACTATTGTCATATCTTTTGCACGGTTACCGTAGGAATAATCAGCCTCCGCAATAGATTGGATTGAGCTTAAACTTTCAATAAGATTATCAATTGCTTTTTGAGGGCTCGATTTTATTTCTCCTCGTGCAACATCGAGATGAGCAAGTGATCGTATTTCAGCGCTGCTTTTAACAAAATCTGAATTTATCAAGTTGGCAATGATTCGTCCGGCTTCTTGTGATTTACCTTGGTTCTTGTATGCGGCCGCTAAATTGCGGTATGTGTAATATCTATCCTGATAAGCCTTGACGTCCTCTGGCTTGATTAGTAATGGATGCATATGGAAAGATTGTTCAAGATATTGAATTGTTAGATTTTTTTCTGATTCAGACAAGATGTTCCATAATCTGACGTTGATAGAAGCCAGTTTATATAATATTTCTATGCTATACATTTTAATTTGTTCCAAGTCAAATTTTTCTGAGGTCAATCTCTCTTCGATTTCTTGTTTAGTAGTTTTGATTGACGGTGCTATTGACAAATTAACGAGTTTCGATAATACCTTCGTCGACAATGATTTTTCGCACAAATCACGTGATTTTATGTAGCAACCTTTCGCTTCATGCAAGAAATCCTGTGCTTCATAATAGCTACCCATGGCATAATATAATTCGATCAATGAATTTTGGTGAGCGGCTTCTTTTTCAAAGTGCGTAACTACCGACTTAATATGTGGTAAAATATCAATTTGCCCTTCCCATTGGAATTTTTTAATGGGGTTGATAGCCTCACTACGGCGCCACTTCACCTTTTCTACCAGAAACTTGAGAAAACAAGCTTGGCATTCCGATAATTGTTCGGTGGTGATGAGATTTTCTTCAACCAGGATATTCTGATTTAGCATCGTTTGATAGGAACAATGCATGCTTAAATAATTACCTTCACGTTCGATCAACATGGTTTTCTTACATAACAGGTTGATCAGTTGTTCCGACTTTTGTTCTAAAATTTTTGAATAACCATGCAAGAATTGAACCAATAAAGTCACCGGAATGTTTCGACTAGGCAATAAACTACAAATTTGTAACACCGATAATGCCAGGTTTGGTTCCTGCAATTCTTTTGAAAGCGATTGATTAGCGACAATCTGAAAGCATTTAAGAGTTGATGATAAAGCTTGCTGTGAATTTTTACGGTAATCCTTTAAAAGCTGCCCCGACTTTTCGCCATTTTTTAAGTAGGTAACCACATCGCCGCCCAAATTTTCGGAGATATAATTGGCCGCCTGCGTCACCCATAGGAGATTACTTTCGAAGTGCAAGACCAATTCTCTCAATTGTGTTTCGTCAACAATTTTAGCCTTCTTTTCCTTGATAATATGTTTTGCAATAGCAGAAGCCTCCTGCTCGGTGCATTGATTAATGTACAACTTGTAATAATCCCAGTCTTCATAATGACTGGTAATGATTATATCGGTATTATAATCTGGCAAGAATTTTTCAATAATACACCTTACTTCCTCGCTAGAAGCATCATCAATAACCACTAAATAACGTTGTACTTCTAATTTTCTCTTAATCGATTCGGCAAGCTCATCGACCGATAATTGCTTGCATCCCTCAATTCCTAACGATCCTCCGATCTGTTTACAATTTCCCAAGAGTGTATCTAGCTGGTCAGCTGTTACCCAGATTAATGCCTCATAGTCATTAACGTGAGTTTGTCTTAAAATAGGATTAACCCATTGCCTAACTAATTGCGTTTTACCCGTTCCTGAAGCGCCACACAAGACAATCGTGTTTTTTTCTTTAATCAGCCTATCTAAATCTTGGTCATATCTTCTTTGAACGTAAAAGGGATTAAGGGAGGGTAATTTTCCGAACACCAACATCAAAACACGTTGTATTACGTTGGATGAATAAACCTTTTTTTTTTATGAAATTTGATCAACGTCGGATGCAGATAAACTTTTTTATTTAGTGCGTATAATTGAGATAATAGAACGTTCAATTCACAACAATTTAAAGGAAATTATTATCAACTTATTAGAATATCAGACCTAAATTTCGAAATAATAAAGATAGGTTTGATAGTACTATGTTATGAATTGATTAAGTAACAAAAAAAAAAAAAAAAAAAAAAAAAAATTATAAGGAATTTTGAATTCATATTATGCATGTAGGTTTGACAACATATAAGAATCAACAACGGCCGATGTGCTCCGATTTAGTTCTCGATATTCTGATAAGCTCTTTGATGACCTTAAATAGTTATTTACCGTATTACCAAAGGCGGTCAATAGAAGAGGTATTTAGTTATTAAGCTAGTTTTGTTCACATGACCATGATCAGCAGAGTGAACCATAAACTAAGAAGTGGATTCCCCTTTTCTACTGACCGCCTCCCATTTCTTTATTTTTTTTTGTTTCAACATTTTTCATTCTTTAATAAATACTTATAGTTTCATTCTTTTTCTATTTTTTTTTTTTTTTTTTTTTTTTTTTTTTTAGAAATGACAATTTATCATAAATTAGATGAGAAATTAATGTAATTTATTTAAATTCATAAGATTTATAAAAATCCTTAAATCTTTAGATTATATAACCTATCACTCATATATTAATTAACAAAATGATTCTCAAAATTAGCCGCATAAGCCATGGCATCGTTATAGTTTGCTACGGTTGGACTCGAGGAATTTGTCTATTTTTTTTTTTTTTTTTTAAAAAAAGCCAATCTTCCAAGTTATCTACGTTTGCAACAAGGCACTCGTGTGATGTTTCTTAAAAATATCATAATAGGACAAAATATAAAGTAATGGTGTTATAATTGATATTGACTTAGAATCTTTACAAGCTTAACGTAATTGGTGTCATTATTAATAATGAAATTAAAAAGGACTACATTTATGATTGATGGAAAACCATCAAGTAGATGCCAAGTCTCTTTACAAATTGCATTTGTGCTTAAAGTACATACAACACAAGGATTCGCTTTACCTGAATTTTCTCATTGCCTTGACCATCATCAAATTTTCTCTGCTGGTCAAGCTTTTGGTGCATTAAGCCGATGCTCTTATTGGTCAAAAGTGAGATATTCACTGCACTGCATTACATCCTACTGCTTTTACTGCAAACGAAATCAATGCTTAAAGAATATGATCGAGTAGAACAAAAATCCGCTAATCCTTTACCTTTCTAAATACATTATTTGTAAGCCCCTAAAAATAAAAATGTGAAGAAGAACTTATATAAAAGAAATCATCATTAATTGTGCCCCGTAGCAATCCAATAATAATAATATTAATTATAATAATAATTTAATAAAAAAACTTTACTTTGCGACCCAACCCGAAAGTAATAAAAAAAAAAATTTACCAATTAAAAATAAACTTATGTGGCAAACTCAACCATTGAAATACGTCAAATTTTCAAAATTATCTTGAAAATTTTTTTGAAAAATAAAGATTTTATTCTTTTATTTATAAAAAAAAAAAATAATAAAAATAATAATTATAAAATAAATTTAAAAATTAATCAAATAAATGTAATATTGATTTGTAGGCGGATTTTTCGGTAATGGGGCCAATCGAGTAAGTATTTTAAAATAAAACCGCTTTTTTATTGGTATTTTTAGGCGGTGAAGCGTTTGCGATTTTTTTTTTATATTTTAAGCCCATTAACCTGATTACTAGCTTAAAGCATAAAAGTTATAAACTATAAAAATGACAGAAACGTCTAAACTATATAAAATTTTTTGGTTAGTGTGATCGTCAAAAAATTATTGAAAAATCACACCTTTCCAAATAAAGTTAAGCAACGTGCCCACCAGCTTTTCGGCATTCTTATATTATGCTAAAAATAACCATATAACGAAGCTTTTTTTTTTTTAAAAAAAAAAAAAGAAAACGGGATATCTTACGTAAATGATCATTGGCACATTTAACAGTCACTTACCTTACAAAAAAATTCTTATGCTTAACAATTAGTAACATCTTACTTATTTATCTTTTTTAATCAATCTACTATTTATCGTTAATCCGTTATTATTTAGACATTTCAATTTGGTGTTGTGCCACAAACATTTTAATTAAATCTTAAATGGCACAAATGATTGAGTCAATCAAAAAAATAAATTTTTTTACATAGTAACATCCTAAAATAGAAATCTTAATAGAATTCTTGATTGAGTGGGAAAATAAAAGATGATTGCTGTATTCGATCGGTCTTTTTTTTTTTTTAAAAGAAAAAAAGTTAACAAAAAAAAAAAATAAAAAAATAATTTAGAAAAGAAATATAAAAAAAAATTTATATGGCAGAATTAAATCCTTCCGACAAATATGCAGAGACCATTCATCCGAAATTGACGAAAAAATTGAAAATTGATGCCGAAATTCGTAATCTTTGGTCAGAGAGCATCCATCGCCGGGATCAATGTCAAACCTTTATGAAGACTGATGAAATTTATGATTTTATTATTGTCGGAGCAGGAACTGCCGGGTGCATTCTAGCGAGAGAACTCATTTATAATGTTCCCAATGTTAACATTTTGGTATTAGAAGCTGGACCACCAGATGCGCAAGTAAATGATAAAGTCCGCTTGCCTTGTACCTTTCTTTCGGTGAGTACTTACCATGGAGTTAATTCCGCTATAGAATTCCTTTGATTAACGATTTATCGTAATTAGAATTTTCGATCAAGTGAAACTGATTGGGGATATTATACGGAAGAGCAAAGAATGCTTAGTACTATGGAACCTATAAAAGAAGTAATAAACAAAGGAATGCGTTATCCGCGTGGCAAGGTTATTGGAGGATGTAGTACCGTGAATTCAATGGTTTACATGTAAGTTTTTTTTTATGTTAAAAAAAATTCTTCTCTCGATATTCTTACTTTCAATGAAAGTTATCGTAAAAATTGCATTTATTTATAATGCTAAAATTTTTATTGTTTTTAGGCGAGGTCAAAAGTCTGATTACGATAGTTGGGCGGCTCAAGGACCTGAATATATAATTTGGGATTACGGTCATTGTCTTGAAGGTATGTGTTGATAATTTTAATCTTCTTGTTTATATTATATAGCGGAGAATTAATTTATTTTTTAACTTTTATTCTTAAAAAGCTTTCAAAGCCGTCGAAAACAACGCGCGTGCAAACCCTGACGAAGAATTTAAGAAGTATCATGGGTTCGATGGCCTACTTCACGTACAAGATAGTCCAAATGATACTTATGAGATGACTAAAGATTTCATTAAAGTTGCAAACAATCTTGGAATTCCTTGTAATAACGATTTCAATGGCGTTAGGCAAAATGGAGTAGGGAAATATCAGGTAATTAATGGTATTAGATGAGTAAAACTTTGAAATGCGTTTTAATCATTTATGAAAATTCTTCTTATCTGATATAGTATACAATGAAAGATGGAAAGCGGATTTCGTTGGCTGACAGTTATTTGGCGGACGCATTGAAGAAAGTTGAAAAATACCCTCCATTAATGCCATTAACACCTGCTTTTGGTGGATTTGCCGGCGGTGTCGCAAAGGTTGTTGCTGTCAATGTTAAATCCTTTTCTCAAATGTTGGGTATTATCTGGGACGAAGAAAATGAAGATGAAAATATTGCAATTGGTGTCAAATATTTCTGCAATGGTGGAATTCATAACGCTTTCATTGCTCCAAAGGGAGAAGTGATCATTTGTGGTGGTGCTGTGAATAGCGCTCAGGTGAGGATGTAAACTATTTACTAGTGAAATTGTCATTGAGTTAATGATAGATGAAAAGGTTACAACATTTTTTTTTTGATAATACAAAAGATTTTAATGCTATCTGGAATCGGTCCAAAGAATAATTTGGAAGCATGTGAAATTAAAGTTCGTAAAGAATTATCAGTTGGACGCAATCTACTGGATCATCCTTTATGTCATATTACCGGCAAAGTTTCTATTCCAAATGGAACAAATGATGCTCTAATTCATTCTTGGTGTTGTGGGATTAAACTTGGAATCCATTATAAAGGTAACGTTGAAGGAAAAATTCCGAGTAAAGATGAATTTCTCGATGAACGTCCGGATTTTCAAACATACGGTAAGTTTTTTGAAATATTTTTAAAATACTATTAAGCGTTAATTCATTGATTATAATTTTATCATTTTCTAGTAAACGCGTTTGTGTTTGAATATAATATTATCCAATCTAACATATCAGCATTTACTTTGGCCACCGTTTTAAATTGCCCATCAAGTGTTGGCCATTTGGAATTATGCAATTCTAATCCATTCATGCAACCAAAAATATTTCTCAATTTTTATGAAAAACCTGAAGATATGTATAGAATGATTAGTTCACTAAAATTATTACGTGAAATGCTTAAGCAACCTCCATTAAGTACTGTATGGGGCGTGAAAGAACTTGGGTTTAATGATGAATTTGGAAAATGGTGTATTGTAGGCGACGAGATGAGTGATGAAGATTGGGAAAGATATATTCGTGAAAAGGTAATTGTCACAAAATATTTATGTATGAAGAAATCTTTAAATGCAACTATTTACTTTTCTGTACTTCAATTTTGTTTCAAACGTTTAGACATCATCATCGTTTCATACATGTGGTACTGTAAAGATGGCACCAGAATCTCAAGGAGGATGTGTTAATCATCGCCTTCAAGTTTATGGTACCAAAAATCTTCGAGTTGTTGACGCTTCAATTTTTCCGATTATTCCGAATGGTAACATTAATGCACCTGTTGCCATGGTTGCATGGAGAGCAAGCAAGTTAATTGAAGAAGATTATAAAAATAAATTTTAATTTGATGATTTCATATAATTTTAAACACGTGTAGTTTAGTTATCTTTTGATTTTATTTATAGTATTTATTTATCTCATATTTATCTAACCAAGTGAATACAAACTTATAAATGTAATTTAACTTATCTTATTCTGATAATAAAGTAAAGTTATTAATGAACACTATCAGGTTCCAATTTTTCTTTAGAAAATTAAATTATTATTAATTTTTTCGTGCTCCAATATTCTCAAATGAAAATATACAATTTAGCGCAGCTATAATAAATTCTTGGTCACTTAAAGAATATTGGTTATGCCTGAAACAAAAAAATATTATCTGTTTTATCAATTATAAATAACTGTGAAGATACGGGACAACTGCTAACTTTTGAGCTATACACAATGCATTTCATAAGCAGTAAACATCATATGGAGATTTGCTAGGAAATTGGGCTCTGGGAATTTTTTAACAAAATTTTGTTTCTTATTGCATTTTAGTTTTTGATGTTATTAGAAAAATGATAATAAGGTCTTAATTATAGTCAAAAAATTCCCAGAGCCCATTTTCCTAGCCTAGCAAACTTCCCATATGGGAGGTTTGCTATTAAACTCGAGTTTCAAATATAGTAAATCATATTATCTTTAATGTGATTTTAATGTGCAGACTTTTCAAAATGTCCGTTAAAAAATGTGTTAAAGCATATACAGTACTCTTTGAATATGTAAAATTGACCAATCAAAATTCGAGTTGATTGAATTTAACAGTATAGACAATACAAAAAATTTCCTCTCTCTTTTCTCACTAATTCAAAAAAACATTTTATAATATCATACCATAGTTTTATTATGGAATAGTGTGGAGTCAAAAAATAGTATTCCTGTCTCCAAGATAATGAAAACATGCAAAAATATCCTCTCATATTAGCTACAAAAGGAATGAGTTAAAATCTTTTATGCACAAGTTTAATTAATTTTAAAATATTATTATTCAAATTAAGAATCTGATGAAGAAAGTTTAATTACCGTATTCCTCCGAAAATAAGCAACGTAATTTTGTTATAAAGTTGCTTATTTTCGAGTAGTTAAATTTTTTTTAATGTACTGTATAGTTAAAAGTTTGATTTTCGTGTTATAAAATTAACATGACTCCAACGTGATCACTGATCATTTAATATACGTTACATGCATCGCGAACTGGTTTACGAAGTTGTTAGTGGTAGAAGTGATTAATATGTTTAATTGTATTAAAATTTTGCGATTAGTGACGCAAGCAATTATTTTATAAAAATTCATTAATAAAATACTTTTTTTTTGGTTTATTTGAGCTTTATTTTATTATTTAAAATGTTCTTATTACATTACATATAGTTTTAATGCGAAATTAATTAATTATTCAATGTGTTGCTTATTTTCGGGTATTATTTATTTTAAGAGTTGCTTATTTTTGGGGGTTGCTTATTTTACGAGGAATACGGTATGTAATAATTTGGTTGAAGCTCATTCTGATATTTATTTAACTGAAGTAGCAAATTATATAAGCAACAATAAATGAGTGGACCTAAAATAAATTTGCTGACAGTAGTATATTAAATTCTGAATAATAAACTTTTACCTCAATCAATGCTTCTTGTTCATTATTAAATACTTACCAAGTTCTACAAAGCCATAAATTCAAGATTATTTGTCTTTATATTTCTCTTTTTCTTCGCTTTCAAATAATTAATCATCAATCATCTATTCAATATTAATAGCATATCATACCCAAACGAAGACAGTCTGATAGCAAAATGCTTTAAAGTGAATAATAGATTTAAAAAGCTTAAAATTTGAAAAGTAACCCAGCCGACTGAAAAACCAAAGTTGCATGAACTTATACTCAGTTATTTTCTTAATTTTCTGATTTGCATTTATTTAAATTAGTGAAGAAAACAAGCACTTGAACGTGATATACTGATTCAAGAACATGAAGCTGAAGTTGATAATGAATTATTAAATTTAACATTATATTTATGCATATTGTAATTAGGTTATAGTAAAACAAGCTTTTGAATTACCTAATATCATCACTGTCCTTAACAATAAGCCAGATTCAGTAGTTTATGACAATGCACCTTATTATTTTAGCAGCTGGAAAGATCGTACTCTATGGACATTTCAAATTGAAATATAGCGCCATTATTAATGAAATTTATGGTAAATAAACTTGGAAAGGAATGACACTGATTCTGACTTTATGCGTAATGAAATCTGATATTGCTAATCTAAGTAAGAACCTTTTTTTTCATGGCAAATATTAATAAAAATTTTATTTTAATTTTGTATATATTAGGTAAAAATTTCCCATGAAATGATTTTTTATCCCTGAAGACTAACGCCCGTAATAATAAAGTTAATTCTATTAATTTTCATCATATTTTTACTATTAAAAGTATGTAAAAATTTATATTGATATGGATCTTTCTTTATAAAATTGCTTTTTCTTTATATGATACCCTCTATTCTTTATTAGAGGTTGGAACCAGTTATTTTTTAACCGGTTAAAATAGATGAATTTAAATCTGGCCGAAATTCAATTTCCGGCCAGAATTAAGATTTTTATGATTGCAAA